GTCTGCCACAGCGCAGGCAGCTCAGGGCCTTCAGCTCTGTAGGCTCTGCAGAGAAAGACGAGGGGCAGGGGTGAGTGCCGGGCGGCCCACGTGCAACAGACATGGCGCCCTCCCTGCCTCCAGGAAGGGGGTGGGGGTGGGGGCGGGGAGGCAGCAGCTTTGTGCATTTGGTGACCTTTTCTCAAAGAAGTGCTATCAAATCTGAGAGTGGGCGGGGGGAGTGCCACTGGCCCTGGTGGCTGGGAGACCAGAGGCCTTGCTGAGCAGGTGACCAAATACAGCAGAGGTATTCCACCCGCCAGACGCCTGGCTCCCTGCAGCTTGCCTTCAGGACAGGACAGGAGACCCTCCCCCGTTTCCCAGATGGGTACAGAGGCAGTTCTCCAGGGCCACACCTGGAGGTCTGAAGAAGCTCCGGAATATTAATTGGATAACCTCGTGTGCCCCACCCGACAGAAGAGGGCCAGGGTCTGGCTGGGGGTGGGAGGCGTGGCAGCCACCCGGCACATGGATCCCCCAGCTGAGAAGGCCCCCAACCTGACATCTTCCCTTGGCCCTCCGAGTGCCCGTGGACACCTCCCAGCCCCTCCCAGGCAGCCTTGGAGGGGCTGGCTCTTGCGATGGATCGGTCAAATTCAGACCCCGCTCCTTAGCTGTGTGGCTCTGCCCCCCCCCCGTTTCCTCTGTTGCTAGAGTATGGTGGTCCTGGCGGTCTCCCTTCCAGGTGGCCGTGACCTCAACGAGGGGGGCAGTGGAGTTTGGGCCCATACAATATCCGTAATCCGTAGGAGCCTGCAGCTCCCTTGGGAGTATTGTTTCAATGAGCCCATCACAGCCCCTCCCTCACCTGCCACAACCACAGCCCCTCCCGGCTCCCTCCCTAGCCCAGCCCTCACTTTAATTCCATTCAGAAATCCACAAGTAGGTGCTGGAAGTCTGGGATAAGCCTCCAGGCCAACGCTGATCAGGAGGCTCCCTAGGGGGAGGGGGTGGACAAGCACCCTGGGCTCGGGGTTTAAGTCCCTCCCAAGAGAAGAATTCCAGGTGTCCAGCACCCAGGACCTGGCTCAAACCGGGGGCTTTCCAGCACGTAGGGCTGGGAGATTCCACAAGGCCAAAGCCAGAAGCCTCTTCCCTGGCCCCCACCAACTAACTACCACCATCTCAATCATGACCCATGGAGACACGGGAGGAGCCGGCGGTCCCCCTGCTGGCTGGCCTCTGCCCCCTCCCCCAGGCCACTGCTCTCCCCAGAGGTCTCCCCTACAGCCACTCTGGTCCAGCCACCTGGCCAGTTATTTCTGGCCAAGGGGAAGGAGAAGTGAAACCAGATTGGGGGTGTGTGTGTGTGGCAAATCCCCAGGCCAGTTTTCTGGGGCTGGCCACACCCTGTGGGCGGCCCTCCTTCCCTGCCCAGCCTTTGCCACCCCCCTCGCCCCCCCACCCCAACTCGCAGCCCTGGGACTTCGGGCAGGCCCTGGCCACGCCTAGGCTGCACCCGGTGGGGAGCCAGAAAGGGGAAGTAAAGTAGAGTGCCCTGCCTGTCCAGCTCAGCCCCCTCTTCACAGGAAGCCGAGCCCTTGAACTTGAGAAGGTATCCGCACCCGGCATGCACTCACCTGAGCCCTGGTTGGGACCGGGGCCACTGAAGAGCTGACAGCCCAGCTTCTTGTGGTCCATAAAGGTAGTGATGGCCTCCAGCGGGAAGATCTGCAGGCAGCGGCCGCAGGTCAACAGATCCGGCTGTTTCTCGGGCCAGGGCTGGCGGTCTGCAGGGAGGAAGCGGGCGGTGAGCGCTGGGTGGGGCCAGGATGGGGGCTGGGGAAACCCGAAGGTCAGGAGAGGGGCTGGGGGCCGGGCGCGGGAGACTGCCGCGGCGGAGGTGGGGGGGGGTCCCATGCGAGCGTCAGAGAGTGAGAGAGAGGAGGCTGGGCCCTGGGCAGGGGGAGGGAGGGCGCTCACCGGGAGGGTTCGAGGTCAGCTGCGTCCACAGGGCCCAAGGGTTCCGCGGGCCGAGGGCGTGGAGGGCGGCCCCGGCGGGCACGGAGCCGGGCGAGTGGCGAGGCTCGCCTCCTAGCTGCGTGGCGGCGGACACCTCCCTCGGGAAGAAGGGCGCCGGCTCCACGGCCTGGAGGGGCCGCGCGTCCGGCTCCGGCTTCACATCGATGACGAGCCCCGGCATCTCCATCTCGTCGTCTGCGCTGGAGGCGGGCTCCGGGTCTACTCGGCGGGGCGTGCTGCCGGCCTTGCGGCGGGACATGAGGCGCGCGGGCCGGGCGAGCCGACGGGCTGGCGAGCGGAGGACGCGCGGGCGCTGCGCGCTCAGACCGTGGCGCTCAGGTGAGTGGCTGCGGCGACCCGCCGCGGACTCTTACACGTGCTGGCCAGGCCCTGGCTCCGCCCCCGGGGCGGGGCCTGCCGGGAGGGGACGGGGCGGCCCCGCAGGGGCCCCGCCGCCAGCCCAGCTCCAGCTCGAGGCCCCGCCCACTGCTCGGGGCTTAGGGACCGGACTTGATCGTCTCAAGTTCACGGCGCGAAGCCTGCCGGCGGCCACCCGTGGTCCCATTCTGCGGCTGGTAAAACTGAGGCCGGGCGCCGGCGGGCGCGCGTTTTTCACCATTCCTACTCGGCGCCCGATAGCTGTACCGCGCCAAGTACAGTAGTGCTTTGCAGTACGCCTCGAATTCGGCGACCCGGGCGCCCGCCCTGCACCCCAGGAGGCTGCGTAGACAGCAGAGGGTGGACAGGTGGCGCGGGGCGAGCGAGGGGGTCGGGGTGAGGGCGCTTCCGTTTCCTCCCCGACTCCCCCCACCCCCCCGGCCGGCCATGTGGAATTGAGACCCCAGCCCGCCGGTGGGCCTGGGTGGTCAGCAGTGGCCAAGGGAGGGGACCCAGGGAGCGCGGTTGAGATCAGTGGGACGATGCAGGCAGCTCCAAAAGGATCATGTATTTTTATTTTATTTTCATTTTCTTCGAGAGAGGCAGAGCTCTCCCAACTGCTGACTTGCTCCACAACTGCTCACGGCGGCTCCCGGTCCCCCGGGGCTCAAGAACCAGGGGCGGGAACTCCATCTGGGGCTCCCACGTGGGTGGCAGGGTCGCCCCTAGAGCCATGGCTTCCTGCCTCCCACGGTGCATCTTAGCAGGAAGCTGGGATTGGAAGCAGAACCTGGGATGCGGGCAGGGCATCCCCCAGACAGGGCCTTTGGGCTACCTCGAGGTCTCCTGGTTTTCTGAGACAGGAGCCCTGGGAGGGTTCGGGGCGCAGGATTGTGGCCACACACACACACCCGTGGGAAAAGTGGAATGAAAAGGAGAGGTGTGGGTGCGGAAGAAATGTTTACCCTCTGTGCTTACAAACATCCGCTGTGCTCCCGCACCTGGAGTCAGGGCGCAGCGTGGTCCCCGCAGCTCTCCGGCCCCGCCACACCCTGCCCCACCCTCGGTCCAGGAGTTTTCTTCCTGGCATGGAGCACGTGGTATGCGACAAGGTCTGCCGACTGCCCTGGGGTCGGGGCTGGGGGCTGTCCTCCCCCAGCGAATTCCCCAGTGCCGGTCTCCAGTGCCTCGCCATTGTTATGCAGCGTGCAGCCCCATTGTCCTCCCAGGGCCCAAGGCCTCCCTGACCGGACTATCTATGAAGTGGCCCCACCCTGCCAAGGGCCTTGCATATCCACTCCATGACCTCCGGCTGTCCCCGGTGTCCCCCAGGGCCTCGGTTTCCCCACGGCTGCAGCCGGAGGACCCAGCCACCTGCTTCTCCAGGGCCCCCCCCCCCCCCCCCGCAACCAGCCCGATCTTACCATTATTTTTTTAATCTCCCTTTGCCCAGTTCAATCTCCACCCACCCCCACTCCCCCAGCAGGGAGGCTCAGAGGCAGGGACTGGCTCAGGTTGTCCGAGTCCGTCTTGGTCCCAAGATAAGGCATCTGTGAGCGCTTATGGAGCTCCTCCTGGGTGCCCCCAAGTCTTCCCAGCAAATATTCCCAGAGCACCTGGGAGCCGCTGGGAGCCCAGCTTTGTGCTAGCGCACCTGGGAGTCAGTGGAGGACGGCCCAGGTGCTTGGGGCCCTGCACCTGCGTGGCGGACGGTGGGGGGGGGGGGCTCCTGGCTTCAGACTGGCCCAGCTGTGGCCATCGCGGCCATCTGGGGAGTGAACCAGGGGATGGAGGACCCCCCTCCCCGCCTTTCAAATACATCTTTTAAAGAGAAAAAAAAAGGAAATGCGTTCGCTCTGTGTGCGGGGCGCGGAGGTTCACATTCCCTGCCCTGGTCCTCAGTGCGCCCTCTGTTAGGGGTTGGAGGACACAGCGCCCACCCCATTCACCCCTGCGGCCGCGCGCAGAGCCTTTCCCCTGCGTGTGGCCGCTGAGGGCTCCGTCCCAGGCTTTCTGGCTGGGAAGCCCAGGTGTTCCCTGGGCAGCTAAGGGGTAGGCGTTTGCATGTGCAAACCTAGCTCAGTTGTTGCACCCAGCCGGGAGGCGGTCAGTCTTTCCCTGAGCCCCACTTTCTTCCTCCGGGAAGTGGACGCCTCGGACGCCCCCGGCTCGCAGGCGGGCGGGGTGAGACCCGAGCGCCCTGGCCGGCCCCAGGAAGCCCGCCCGCGACCACGTGGGGCGGCGGCGCGGCCGGAACCCAGGCTCGGCGGCTCGCCGCGCGCCCGGGCGCTTGCCGCGGGGGCGCCGGAAGTGGGGGCGCCTGCGCCTGCGGACCTCGGCAGGCAGAGACAGGACCACGCCGGCCGCGGGGACGGCCCGCGCGCGCGGCGGGAAGGAGTAGGGCGCGGGTGAGCGCGGCGGGGAGCCCTCCGGTGCTGGGGGGAGGCGCGAGCCGGGCGCTGGGCGGGAAGTGGACGCCTGAGGGCCGGGAGGACCCCCCCACCCCCGAGTATCAGAGGAGCAGGGCGGAGCCGACGGACACTGCCCAGCCCCCGGGCGCCCAGGGCACGGAGAGGTTGTGCTGGGGGTCCTGGCCCTCTGCGGGTGGCCCCAGTGGACTGAACGCGTGGATCTCCCGGGCTGCGTGTGTGGACTTGGTTAATGGTGCCTGGGGGCATGGCTGTTAACCTCGACACTCAGCCCATCCCCCACCCTGAGGACGGTTGGGGGCTCGAGGAGCTCGTGCGGATCCATTCTCATTTTCTGTTCAAAGGCGGGGGAGAGATTGGTGAACCTCGAGCCCCAGCCATTGCCCCAAGCCATGGAGTCCAGCCGCTGTGGTTCGCCAGCAGGGTGTGGACTGCCCCCACCCCTGCAGACCTTGGGGTAGACAGCCCCTGGCTGGGAGGCTGAAGGGATAACGCTGAACCTGCCCGCCCTTGCCCTGGGGACACACCCTGAGTGACCTTTCGCAGGCAGTCCTGATCCCATCCCTGATCCCATCCCGCCTGGGCTCCAGCAGCTCCGGGTGGGTGGTGGGGGTGCCCATGGGAGGGCCACTCTTGGGCTTAAGTTCTAATGGAAGCTCCAGGTGTGGACCTAGGCGGGAGCAGGAAGGCCCCAGGGGCTGGTGACCCCTGAGTGAGAGGGAGTGACTGTGGCCAGATAAACATGTAAATATCCCTTCATCCCTGGAATGCGAGTCTCCCCCACCAGGCCAGGAAACCTCCAGTCCCCCTGGACTGCCCCTCCCCTCGCCCTGCCCCAGCCTAAGTGTTACGGCTCTGAGGTCACTGCCCCCCCCCCAGGCCACTGCAGGGATCTCACCTGACCCCCACCCCCGGGATCCAGTCCCCCTGCTGCTCTGAGTGGCCCCTGCGCCCCCGCCCCCACCCCCACCCGGCCTCCCTGCCGCAGTCTGTGTTAGTGAGGGCTCTGAGGTCACTGCCCCCCCCACCCCGGGCCACTGCGGGGATCTCACGCGACTCCCACCCTCGGAATCCGGTCCCTCTGCTGTTCCAAGTGGCCCCTGCCCCCCTGCCCCCACCTGCCGCAGTCTGCCATGGTCTGTGCTTTTGCCAGTCCCTGGCCCTGGAATTCTTTGCCCCATTCCTTATTTTGCCGGTGTCTCTGCCCAGATGTCACCTTGTCATAAGGATCTTTGCTGAGTTCCCTCTGCCCCCAGGCTGGGCCAGGGGTCCCCTCTGGGCTGTTGCTTCTCTCCGTTGACATCTGGGGACAATAGTCCAGGTGGGGGTGGTGGCGGCTGGACTAAGGAAGGCTGGTGACAAGTGGAGGTGGTGACAAATTGTGGATTCTGGGTGCATTTTTTTTTTGACAGAGTTAGTGAGAGAGACAGAGAGAAAGGTCTTCCTTTGCCGTTGGTTCACCCCCCAAATGGCCGCTACGGCCGGCGCGCTGTGCTGATCCGATGGCAGGAGCCAGGTGCTTCTCCTGCTCTCCCATGGGGTGCAGGGCCCAAGCACTTGGGCCATCCTCCACTGCACTCCCTGGCCACAGCAGAGAGCTGGCCTGGAAGAGGGGCAACTGGGACAGAATCCGGCGCCCCGACCGGGACTAGAACCCGGTGTGCCGGCGCCGCAGGCAGAGGATTAGCCTGGTGAGCCGCGGCGCCGGCCTCTGGGTGCATTTTGAAATTAAGGTTGCAAAGAGTCCAGGGACATGCTGTCCTCCCCACCCCCCAGATCCTCCCTCCTGGCAGGGCCGGAGCAGGGAGGCTTCTCAGAGTCGCAGCAGCCACCGATTCTATTAAAAGCCTTTTTTTATTTATTATTATTTTTTTTAACAATTATTTGAGAGGCAGAGTTGTAGACAGAGAGGAGAGACAGAGAGAGGTCTTCCATCCACTGGTTCACTCTCCAAATGGCTGCGATGGCCGGAGTTGGGCTGCTCGGGAGCCAGGAGCTTGTTGCGGGTCTCCCGCGCCATCCTGCACTGCACTCCCGGGCCGCAGCAGGGAGCTGGATCGGAAGAGGAGCAGCCGAGGTTTGAGCTGGCACCGTGTAGATGCTGGCTCTGCAGGCGGAGATTTAACCACCCACGCCACAGCGCCGGCCCTGTGCACATTCCTATGCGTAGACTTTTATTTACTTGGAAGACAGAGGCAGAGACAGAGATTGCCCGTCCACTGATTCACTCCCCATGTGCCCATGGAAGCCAAGGCCGGGCCAGGGCCTCCATCTTGAGCCGGCCCCTGCTGCCTCCCGGGGTATATATGGGAACCGGGGCAGGACTCAGACCCAGGCCTTCCTATGTGTGGTGCATAAAGGAATGATTAACGCATTCGGGGTGGCTTCACCCACGACGCCACACAGCCTGCCCCCGCCCCCGCGGCACCCTAACCTCTGTCAAGCGCGTGCCCCTAAACTGAAGACACACGGACGCGCACGGAATCCAGAGGGTGGATAGTTAGAGTCAGCGGCCCCTGCCTTTGCAGTCTCAGCAACTGCTCTTGCTGTTGCCATGGCTACCGGCCGGTTTGCCCCCCCCCCCCCCTTGAGGTTGCCCCCTTAGCCACCCACATCTGTGTCTCCCCAGCTCCCCGGCACAGCTCGTCGTCCGGTGTCTTGATTTTTTCTGATCCGAGAGGTGAGGAATCCGCCCCCACTCTGGCTTCTGTTTGCCTTTTTTTTGTTTTTATTTTTTAAGATTTACTTATTTATTTGAAAGGCAGCATTGCAGAGAGGAGAGACCTTCTACCTGCTGGTCCACTCCCCAAATGGCCACAACTGCCAGGGCTGTGCAGGGCTGAAGCCAGGAGCCTGGGCCTGGTCGCCTGTGTGGCATCTGTGTCCCTTACGTGTGGGTGACGGGGGCCCAAGCACTTGGGCTGCTTCTGCTCTTCCCCCGCCATCAGCAGAGGGAGCTGGATCGGAGGTGGAGCAGCGGCGATGGGACCAGTGCCCACAAGCTGCGGGCGGCAGCCGTGTCACAGCGCTGTCCCCTCGGTTGCGTCTCGCTGGTGACCATCCCAGCTCTGCCCCGTGTCCCCTTGCTGTCTTCTCCCCCTCCCACTTTGCGCCCTGTCACCCCTGACCTGCGGTGCTCCACAAGGGTGTCTGGTGGCTTCTGAAGACTTTTGCCCCTAAGGATTCATTTATTTGAAACCTTCCATCTGCTGCCTCACTCCCTAAATGGCCGCAACAGTCAGGGCTGGGCCAGACCAAAGCCAAGGCCTGGAGCTCCATCTGGGTCTCCCACGTGGGTGCAGGGGCCCGAGCACGTGGGCCATCTTGGCTACCATTCCGGGTGCGTCAGCAGGGAGCTGGATGGGAAGTGGAACAGCTGGGACTAGAACCAGTGCTCTGATAGGGAAATGCTGTCGTCACAAGTGGTGGTTCCACCCGCTGTGCCACGGCGCTGGCCCCACTTGCAGTGTCTTTTATTTATTTGAGAGACAGAGTTACAGACAGGGAGACAGGTTTTCCATCCATTGGTTCACTCCCTAAATGGCTGTAACGGCCAGAGCTGTGCTGATCTGAAGCCAGGAGCCAGGAGCTTCTTCCGGGTCTCCCTTGTGGGTGCAGGGGCCCAAGGACTTGGGCCATCTTCTGCTGCTTTCCCAGGCCACAGCAGAGAGCTGGATGGGAGAGCAGCAGCTGGGATCCGATGCAGCACCGTACGGGATGCGGGCACCGCAGGCAGAGGTGTAGCCCCCTGTGCCGCAGCGCCGGCCCCACACGCAGGGGCTTGAGTCCTGCGCTTGGTGGCGGGGAGGGTGCCCCGGGACGGAGGTTGCACAGCCAGGCCAGCCTCAGATCTCCGCCCCTCCGCTCCAGCAGATGCAGCATCTAGTGCGCTCTGTCTTCGCCACGTGGAATCCTGGGAGCTGGAGAGACGGCAGTGGCAGAGGTGGACGTGGTGGGGCACGGGCAGGGGCTGCAGGTGCAGGGGCCCGGGAAGGGACCGCGTGGGCCAGTGTGACTGCTGAGGGGCGAGCGAGCGGGGGCACCTGCGGGTGCCATCAGCGCCTCGGCCCGTGCTGAGCAGGACACGGGGCAGGCGTGCTCGGAGCCGAGGTGGGAGGGAGTCAGTGGACCGACTGGGCACGGGCGGACGTGTCGCGCCCTTCCTCTCGGCTCTGGCTGCTCTGTGCTAGGTGTTCCTGTCTCGTCCACGCGTGTACCGTGCTGGAGAGCCTGCCCAGGGCAGGCCCCGGCCTCAGCTCTGGTTTCGGGTTTGGGCCTGTCCGTAGGTTTCTGCACGGAGAGACCGCCCTCCTCCAGAGCGAGCAGACGGCTCGGGCGCAGCCGCCTTAACACGCCCGGTCACTCTCACCCGGTCACTCTCACCCGCAGATTCCGCCGGCCCGCACCCTGCACTCTGCCCGCGGCATTCGCGTTCTAAGGTAAGGAGCCCCCTCTCCTTCCCCGCCTCATTCACTCACTCACTCACTCACTCATTCATTCATGTGCAATCTACAGGCTCTTTTTTTTTTTTAAGATTTTTTTTTTTTTTTTTTTTTTTTGATAGGCAGAGTGGACAGTGTGAGAGAGAGACAGAGAGAAAGGTCTTCCTTTTTGCCGTTGGTTCACCCTTCAATGGCCGCCACTGCAGCCGGCGCACCGCGCTGATCCGATGGCAGGAGCCAGGAGCCAGGTGCTTTTCCTGGTCTCCCATGGGGTGCAGGGCCCAAGCACCTGGGCCATCCTCCACTGCACTCCCTGGCCATAGCAGAGAGCTGGCCTGGAAGAGGGGCAACCGGGACAGAATCCGGCGCCCTGACCGGGACTAGAACCCGGTGTGCCGGCGCCGCAAGGCGGAGGATTAGCCTATTGAGCCACGGCGCCGGCTCTAAGATTTATTTTTTTGAGAGGCAGAGTTACTGAGGTAGAGGGCCAGAGATCTTTCATATGCTGATTCACTTCCTAAATGGCTGCAACGGCCAGGGCTGGGCCAGACCAAAACCCAGAGCCCAGAGCTTCTTCCAGGTCTCCCGCGGGGGTGCAGGGCCAAGCACTGAGGCCACCCTCTGCTGCTTTCCCAGGCGCATGAGCAGGGAGCTGGATCGGGAGTGGAGCGGCTGGGGCTTTTAGAACTGTTATCCATATGGGATGCCAGCGTCACAGGCTGCAGCTTAGCCTGCTGAGCCACAGTGCTGGCCCAGGAGTTTCTGTTTTAAAGATTGATTTTATTTATTTGAAAGGCACGGGGCCGGCGCCGTGACACAGTAGGTTAAATGTCCGCCTGCAGCGCTGGCATCCCAGATGAGGCCTGTTTGTGTCCCGGCTGCTCCACTCCCCATCCAGCTCTCTGCTGTGGCTGGGAAAGCAGCAGAAGATGGCCCAAGTGCTTGGGGCCCTGCACCCGCGTGGGAGACCTGGAAGAAGCTCCTGGCTTTGAATCGGCCCTGCCTTTCTTATGTGACAGGCAGAGTTACAGACAGAGGGAGAGACAGAGAGAGAACATCCTGTCTCCACTAGGTCACTCCCCAGATGGCTACATCAGCCGGGTCTAGGCCAGGCCAGAGTCAGGAACCAGGAACTCCATTCTGGTCTCCCGCGTGGGTGGAGAGGCCCAGGCACCTGGCCACCTTCCCCTGCCAGGTGCCTTAGCAGGGAGCGAGATCAGAAGCGGGACAAGTGGGACTCAAGCCCTTGCTGTGACGTGGATGCTGGCGCCACAGGCCACGGCCTAGCCAGCCCACGGTGCCACCTGGAGTCTGTTATCCCTGGGGTACAGTATCACCTGTCGTTATTTTCATGCATACATCATTCCAGAGTTGGGGGGGGGCTGGGAGGGGGCTTCAGGCTTCAAGCAGCGAGTTACGCTGCCGCCTGCAACGCCTGCACCCCGCACAGCACTGGTTCCTGTCCTGGCTTTGGCTTGGCCTGGTCGCGGCCATTGTTGCCATTTGGGGAGTGAGCCGGTGGATGAGAGCACGCTCTCGCTCGCTCGCTCTCTAATTCTGCCTTCAAATAAATAAAATAAATCTTAAAAAAGATGCTGCCTGAGACTCCTGCATCCCGTACGGAAGGGCCTGGGTTCCAGTTCCAACCCTGCTCCATGTCCAGCTTCCTGCTGCCGCGTACCCGGGGAGGCAGCAGGGGACGGCTGGAGCCTGGCTCCCTGCTGCCCACGTGGGGGCCCTGGGTGGCCTCCAGCTCCCAGCCTCACCTGGCCCAGCCCAGCTGTTAGAGGCGTCTGCAGCGTGCCGCTCCCTTCCTGGGGCGCCGCTGTCTAGTGCGGCCACGGGGGAACGGGTGGGCTGGGGGATGTGGCAGCGGGTAGGGTGGGGGTGAAGCCCCCAGCCCCCGCTGCGCGCGCTCCGCGTGTAACGGCCTCACTTTCCACTCCACAGCCGGGGACATGCAGACTCCGCTGGCCACGCCCGTGCCCGTGCTGCGGCTGCCGCGGGGCCCGGACGGCTTCAGCCGCGGCTTCGCCCCCGGAGGCCGCCGGGCGCCCCAGGAGCCCCAGGAGCCTGCGGAGCTGCAGGAGCAGCGGGCCCGCGCCGCCCTGCGGGAGCGCTACCTGCGCAGCCTGCTGGCCATGGTGGGCCACCAGGTGAGCTTCACGCTGCACGAGGGCGTGCGCGTGGCCGCCTGCTTCGGAGCCGCCGACCTGGACGTGGCCAACCTGTACGTGTCGCAGCTGCAGACGCCCATAGGCGTGCAGGCCGAGGCGCTGCTGCGGTGCAGTGACGTCATCTCCTACACCTTCCGGCCCTGACGGCGGGCCCCGCTCCGAGCAGTTCTGGACCCTTGACCGCCGGGGCTGCTCAGAGAGATGCTGCAGCCCAGGACTGCGGACCCTGGCCCCAGGGGGCTTCCTGAGGAGGGGTGGGCGGGGGCGTGGGGGCAGGGGCGGGCGCGCTGCCCAGGGAACTGCACTGGCAGGGGCCTGGGACCGCCCCCGCCCAAGAAACCCTTCTCCCAGGAAAACCGGTCTCCTGTGTTGTGTTAAAGCGCCCCCGGGGAGCGGCGGGGTGATGTGGGCCCCCAGGGTCGCGCAGGGACACCTCCACCTCCCGCAGCCCGCAGCCGTCCTCGCCACTCGCCGAGCGCCCGGTCGCTGGTCACCTTGCAGCAGCCCGTCCTTTGCTCACCTACTTTTTAGAGATCTGTCTACTTGGCAGAGTGGCAGACCCTCCATCCGCTGGGTCACTCCCCGATGACCGCAGCGACCCGGGCGGGGCCAGGCCGAGGCCGGAGGCCGAGGTTATCGGGGTCTCCACGTGAATGGTGGGGGGGGGGGTTCAAGCACTTGAGCCGTCGTCCACAGCAGAGCGCCCTTTAAAAAAGTTTCTAGGGGCCGGCGCTGCGGCGGAGAGAATTAGGCTGTGGACGCGGGTTCGAGTCCAGGCTGCTCCACCTCCCATCCAGCTCTCTGCTGTGGCCTGGGAAAACCGTGGAAGATGGCCCAGGTCCTTGGGCCCCTGCACCTGCATGGGAGACCCGGAAGAAGCTCCTGGCTGCGGTCTAGGGAGTTAACCAGCGGATGGAGGATCTAACTCTGGCTTTCAGATAAAATAAAAAAAGTAGTTTCTGACCCTTCTTGTTTGTGTCAAGAGCAGACTGTAATCGCAGCCCTCCACTGAGTGCATCTGTACTGGGGGTGACATTTGTCTTTTATCTCAGTCGGGAACGTGCAGCGGCCGCTGATGAGCGGAGCGAGCCCACAGCCTCTGCCATCCGCTCATCCACTCCCAGCGCCACCCCGGCAAGCCCCCCGCCTTGTTCTCGGGTTGCCTTGGCAATGACGCGGCTCCCCCTGCCCCAGTTCCATTTTAGGGCCGTGTACTGTCCGGTCCAGGGTTGCCGGGTGACGAAAGTGCCGTGGCGAATCGCGAGCTATTGAAGTGCACCTGCCGGGGCGGGGATCTACCGTCACCTGGCGTTTTGATTTGGCAGATTCGCCTCTCGCTTTTGGAATTCCTCCCAGCGTTTCGAAATCAGGACTAACGCCTCACTGGCTCATAGTTATTTTAATATTTTATTTTATACAGCGTTACCCAGTTACTGAGCGCTACTGATGAAACTGTAGTCTGCAAACAGCAGGAGCGAGCAGAAAGCGGGCGGAGGGTCTTCCCGGTCGGCACCCATCACCTGTTCGTTCTCCCACTGAGCGCAGCCGCTGGCGCCCTTCCGTCTGCGTCACCATCCTTTTACCAAGCATCATCACCAGCCCGGCCCCTCCAAGCAGACGCTCGTGTCCTGTCAGCTCTCTCCGCTTCTCCGTTACGTGGGCTCGTGACGAAAGTGCGAGCCCGAGCCTCGGCCTGCGAGGTCCGCGCCTGCGCGCTGCTCCGGGAGACGGCGTCCGCTCGCCCCGCCTCCCCGTCTGCGGTTCCGGCGCTGCAGATTCGCCGCTCACGGCTCTGTTTTTTTGCCGTGGCTCTTTGTGATCTTTTGTTCCCCCTTTCACGCCGCCCGTGAGACAGTGCTACCTGCAGGTAGCTTGGTTCTGTTTTCGGGCTTTCTCAGGACGCGGACGCTCCCCCGCCCCCGGCTACTCTAGCGAAAGTGCGACTGCGAACGCGCCGGCGCGCTCGGGCTCGGCGGAGGCGCGCTCGGGCTCCCGGCGACGACGACTACGACGACGACGAGGCGAGCGGACGGAGGCGGCGCCTGAGGCAGCGGTGGAGCCCATGCCCCGGGACGGCGGGAGGGCCCGGAGAGACGAGTCCGGGGCCCGGGGCATGTCCCCGGGGCCCCCGTGAGCAAGCGGCGGCCGCGGCGGCGATGGAGATCCCGCCGCAGGAGGCGCCGCCCGGGCCGGGCGCGGACGGCGACGCCGAGGAGGCCGCTGGCGAGGCTGGGTCCCCCGGGCCCGCCTCGCCCCCCGCCGACGGGCGCCTCAAGGCTGCGGCCAAGCGCGTCACCTTCCCGTCGGACGAGGATATCGTGTCCGGCGCGGTGGAGCCCAAAGACCCCTGGAGACATGGTTAGTTGCGGGGGTGGGCTCCTCCGAGGGGGCACGGGGGCGGGCGGGCCGGGCGCCCCGCTGCGTGGTACTTGGGGGCGACTCCGCGAAGCCGGTGGTCAGCGGCGCCCCGGAGGCTGTTGGCAAGCAGGTGGCCGTGGGGCTGGGGAGGTGGAAGGTGCCTGCTGTGCGCCCCTCCCCCCCCCCCCCAGGGATCGTCTTAGGGTTTGAAGCGGTGGGCGGTGGGCGGTGGGCTGGTGGCCTGCGGGATCGTGGGGTCGGGGGGCAGCGGCTTCGGCGTGCTGGTACGCCCCCGCCCCCCTGGACAGGGCAGCTGCCGCGTGGAGAGGGGCGAAGCTGCTGTCTGCAAGCCTTGGGCCCGGGGGTGGGGGCGGTGGGGTCCTTGGCCCAAAGAAGCGGCGGGAATAGATCTGGGCTGTGGTCGTGGCGGAGCGGCTGAGCCCCCCCCCCCCCCCCCGGCTTGGGAGCGGAGTTCATGGTCAGTTTGCCAGCGGGGCGGTCGTCGGAGCTCGCGCCCTCCCTCCGACCCCGGACAGAAGCAGGAGGTGGTCGGTTTCCCTTCCGGAGAGTTGGGGGCCGTGGAGCTGGCTGGGCGGTGCAGGTGCAGGTGTGGGGTGGGGGTGCGTCCCTGGGTGGCAGGCCCCTCGCGCCGGGAGGAGGGTCCGGGCCGCTGGAGGGCTGTGTTGGGCCCCAAGGGGCAGGGGCAGCAGGGGCGGGGCTGCGAGGAGAGGGAGCCGCCGCCTGTGGCTCCCTGGGTGTTGGTCTGCTGGCCCCCGGCTGTGGGCAGTGGAGGCCCCGGTGGCCTTGATGGCGAGTAGACGCGTGGTTGCCGGACCCTGGACACACAGGGAGCCTCCCGCGTGCCCCAGGGTGGTCGGTCACGGGGCGGTGACTAATTCCAGGCTTGGTGTTGGAGCGCAGGGCTTGGGGCCGCGGGGCTGAGGAGGGAAGGGGTGGGAGCGGGCCCTGGCCGGAGATTGGGGGGTGGGGCAGGCCGGATCCTGAGCCCTCCGCGGGGCTCCGCAGCCCCCCTGCGCCCTCAGGCTGCTCCCCCGCCTCCCCGGGCCCCCGCGTTCCCGAGCTGGCCGGGTGGCCACGGCGGGCACTGGGTTGAATTCAGAGGACGGGGGCGTGTAGGAAGAGCGGCGGGCCCGGCTGGAGGGTGCGCTCTGGCCGGGGTGAGGGGCTGGGCGCAGGGTTTCTGGGCTGCAGGTCCGTAGCAGGGTGCGCTCTGCCGGCGGCGGTGCTGTCTGCGGGCGGGGGCTGTGCACGAGCCAGCCCTCGCGAGTTCCCGCCGCGTACCCAGCAGCAAGCCCAGGCGGTGGGCAGAAAGAGGGAGGGCCGCTGCAGCCTGCGGGGGGGGGGGGGGGCGCCGGTGGTCTGCCCTTGGGGGTACAGGCGGTGACACCTGACAGCCTGTGGCGAGGACTTGAGTCTGGGGTCCGGGGTGAAGTCGGTCCCTTTGGATTTACAGGGTGGGAGCACCCAGAAACAGGTGTTGGCCTCTGCGCCTGAGGGGGCAGCGGAGTGTGGGAGACCTCGCGTGACAGACAGCTGGGAGGCCCGAGGGGCTGGGGCTTGGGCTGCGGGGAGGTGTCGCCGCTCCAGGACCAGGGAGAGGCTTCTTAGAGTTGGTCTCCAGGCCGTGGGAGGCGTGGGGGGTTGTTTTCGGCTGTGGACCCGGTGGGAGGGGTGATGAAGGGGTCTGCTGGGGACACGCTGGTGCTGTCCCCCAGGCCAAGGGGCGTCCGCGGAGCCAGCAAGTCGTCCCGAAGCTGCTGCTCGGGGAGGGGTGAAGTGGCCGGGCTGGCAGGCACCGGAGAGTCCCGGCGTGCACAGAAGCAGCCCTGGCGCCCGTGGAGCCACCAGCTCGGTGGAGGAGGGCGGCCCTGCGAGCGAGCGGGGTGAGCGCCTTGGGCGCGGACATGATCCCTGCCTCGCACACCACCCGGGATGTCGCGGGGGGGCTGGCCCGGGTGGGGGGAGTGTCTCTGCAGCAGGCAGAGCCCCCGTCTGTGGACAGGAAGTGAGGCCTGGGGAGGCGGCAGGGTGGAAACCTTGAGTGCAAGCCCCCTTCGGTGCTGCCGAGCTGGGCACGTGGGTGCTGGGGCCCAGGCCAGGCTTCCAGCCCCGACTGCAAGAGTGACCCGAGGCCAGCCGGGCGCCCCAGGCCCCGCCGAGCCCCGTGTGGGTGACCCGAGGCCGGCCGGGCACCCCAGGCCCCTCTGAACTCCCTGGGCTCTGCGAGGCAGGCGAGCGAGAGGACCTTGGGATCCAGGCACGTGACGGTCTCCCTCCCTCCCGGCCTGCAGTGACTCATCCCCGCGCCCGCTTCCTGCCTGGCGCTCCTGGCGTGTGTGCCGAAGTGGGGGTGTCTGCAGGCCACCCTCTGTGGCCACTTGGGCCTCTGGGTGGGGGTGGCGAGGGCAGCGGCCGTGGTGCTCTGAACCCGGGGTGCAGATGCCACACTGTTTGTTCTCCTGGAAACCCAACCGCACATTTTGTCCTTGGAACTGGTTTGACAGGTAGGCAGAGGTGCGGGCTGAGGGAACTGGCTCTTCAGCGACAGCAGTGACAGCCGGGGGAGGGGCCCTTTAACACATCTGCTCAAGTTTCCATCTGGGCTGGGCCTCGCCTGCTGCCGTAGCTGGCGGGTGGATGCGGCCCCGGGCGGCCCTGTGGCTTTGGGCTCCGGGCCTGAGCCGTCTGTGACAAGCCGGTGACCACGGGCAACTTGCCCAGCTTCTCTGTGCTGGGGCCCCGTCAGCCCGTGTTGGCCACTAGTGGACCAGGATTGCAGACGCTGGCTGTGAGCCCAGCCTCTCCACGTGCCAGCCGACAGCTTCGGGCGAGGTGCAGCCGCCCCTGGCCCCGTCCTCCCGCAAAGTGCCCTCCGCCACCCCTGCCCTGCTGGGACCCCGTGAAGTTCACAGTGTGGGTGGGCGAGGGCCTGCACGCCCTGAGTCGTTGGCCTCCGACTCTGGTCTGTGCTTCAGCCGTGTTTGCCGTGTGAACCCGGCCTGGTGGTGGTAGTGCCCGGACAGCAGACAGGGTGAGCAGGAATCGGGTTTTCCTCGCTTCGAAGCCCTGTTGTGGTGTTTGTGAGAGACTTTTTGGGGCAGTGGACCGGGTTTGTGCCGGGACAAGCGCTCCTCCGTAGAATCTGCGGCGGGCTTGGCATCACCCGGGCGGCAGAAGTGCGCGTGCGTTCCTGGGAGCGAGCTGGTGTCACAGGCGCACGGCTGCAGGAGGAATGAGAGCCGTGGCGCCGAGTACCCTGCCTGCCCGGGCACCAGAGAAGAGGCTGGGGCCGGGGGACAGAGTCCGTTGTCCCAGGCTCCCCAGGCAGCACTGTGCTGGGCCCGGCCCCCACTCAGCTCCGCCGCTCTGCAGCAGGCCTCGGGACTGCCCTCCCCACCTCACTTGACCCCTCACGCATGTTCGCGGTAAATCCCAGGGTGAGCACTGGAGAACTGGCTGGGGGGCAGCTGTGGACGTCCCAGCTCTTGGGATCTCCCCACGTGTGACCGCTTCCAGTGACTGCCCCTCCACCGGCTCCTGAGAGCCTGAAAAGTCCCAGGCCCACGCACTGCCTCGTGTAATACGGCTGGTGCTGTAAAATCCAGGAAACTGCAGTTCCAAGACCCATCTGGCCCAGGGGTCTCTGGGAGAACATGGAGCCCATGTGGGCTGTCCTCCGTCTCTGGCTGTGGTGCCGCGCGTGCAGCCCGCGAGCCTGTGGTGCCAGTTACAGCTCCGCCCTGGGCCCCTGGTCCGTGTGGGGATGGGAGGTGACAGTCACCCATGCCTTTGTGGGGTGGGAGGTCACAGCCGTCCATGCCTGTGTGGGAGGGGGGTCACAGCCGTCCATGCCTGTGTGGGATGGGGGTCACAGCCATCCATGCCTGTGTGGGATTGGAGGTGACAGTCACCCATACCTGTGTGGGATGGGGATCACAGCTGTCCATGCCTGTGGGATGGGGGTCACAGCCGTCCATGCCTGTGTGGGATGGGGGTCACAGCCGTCCATGCCTGTGTGGGATGGGGGTCACAGCCGTCCATGCCTGTGTGGGAGGGGGGTCACAGCCGTCCATGCCTGTATGAGATGGGAGGTGACAGTCACCCATGGCTGTGTGGGAGGGGGGTCACAGCCGTCCATGCCTGTGTGGGATGGGAGGTCACAGCCGTCCATGCCTGTGTGGGAGGGGGGTCACATCACCCACGCAGTTCTGGCAGGCGCTCGAGAGCAGCGGTGGAGTTGAGTGCGGCCGTGTCACTCTGGGAGCCTGGCTTCCCCTCTCAGAGAGTGGAGACAGCCCTGCCTGTCCGGGCGGCCATGGGGACGGGTGAGCAGGCGCGGACCACCAGTGGTCAGGGGCACCTGTCTGCCTGTGCTTTCACCTAGTCCACACTTCTGTGGCCTTGGGAAGTCCCACCCCGGTGCCACACTCTCCCGTGGTGAAGCCATTTCGGCAGGTGAGGACTTTCAAAGCTTTGAGCTCCTCAGGGAGGACCGGATGCAGGCTTTGGGCCACACAGTCAGGAGCACGGAGCACACCCCAGTCCAGCGTCGGGCTGGGTGCTGTCCCCGTGAGCTTGGCCGTGGCACCCTCCGAAGCTGGAGGAAGCAGCTGTGCCCCATCGCCAGGGTAGGGTTAGGGCAGCGGGAGGCTGAGGCTGGCGTTCAGTTCAGTGTGGGAGCAGGATGGGGGAGCCCCCGTTCCAGGAAGGGGGTTCCCAGGCTGCTCCTGAGAAGTTAGACCCCTCGTGTGTGGTTTTGTTTCTCTCTCTGGGAAGGAGCTCCCCAGGGCGGGCCTGGCTCCCTGGGGCCGTCTCAGCCGTGAGCTGGCGGTGGATGGCGTACACAGTAGGCGTTCAAGAGTCGTTCACTCGTGCCCCTTCCACTAGGCCGCTGGCACAGAGTGGGGGTGGGGCCTGACAGTGTCCGCCGACAGCCCCAGCTCACGGGACGGGTGGGAGCCCTGCAGCCTGGTGCTCTG